AATCAACTGCTAGTGGTGAGCTAGAAGTGAATCAAGGTGAATCCCAAGTGGAAGACAACATCGATGATATGATTGGCAAAATAGCCAAATATGGGGTGCACATCACTCCTGATCTGCTCTTATCTTGTAACCTAGGGAAAGGTTACTGAATAAGAATAATCAAAATGAAGGTTGGAAATGGAACGATAATATTTATAACAGGAACAACATACAAGATTTGCCAGTGGTGTGTAGTAAATAATCAACTGCTAGTGGTAAGCTAGAAGTGAATCAAGGTGAATCGCAAGTGAATTCCACAGTGAAGATATTCACTAACCTCCCCATACAGTCAGATGTGCACAAGACTGAATTTAATGTGGGGTGAACTGAACCTGCAGTCTCAGGCAAGAATTCCCCATAGACCCCATATATATGGAGTTGGGAGGCTGTCTACACTCCCCAGATGAGACTCTGCCCTTCAGCATAGCCTCATATTTCACAAGCACACTAGTGAAGTGAATTCCACAGTGAAGATATTCACTAACTGCCCCATGCAATCAGATGTGGCACAAGGCTAAATTTATTGTGGGGCATCCGCGCCTGTAGGCTTGGCCAAAAATTCCCTGTAGACCCCGTACAAACAGGGTCGGGTAGCTGTCTCCCAAGATGAGACTTTGCCCTTCAGCAATAGCCTCGTCTGGGGATCCTCTCTGCCCAGAGGCAGAGAGATCCAGAAGCCCGCTGTTAAGTGAATTCCACATGGTTGGATATGGCACAAGGTCAAGTTTATTGTAAGGTATCTGAGCCCATATGCCCGGTCAAAAATTCCCTGTAGACCCTGTTAAAAATGGGTTTGGGTAGCTGTCTACCACCCCAGATGAGACTCTGTCCTTCGGCATAGCCTCGTCTGGATTCCTCTCTGCCACAAGCACTCTGTGGAAGACCACAATGAAGATATTTACCTACCGCTCTACCCTCCTCCTTACTCTATCATTATCCTCCTCTCCTCTTTGTCTTTTATTCAACTCCTCTTAAAGGATATCATATATATATACTTATTATAAAACCCAGGTTGTGTGTGTGTGTGTCTGTTCGTTTATATATGGGATCGGATTTCCTACATTTTTCAACCGATTTCAACAAAACTTCACAGGACTACATAAAATTACCTTGTGGTGGTTCTGACAGTGCCAAAAATTGGAAAAACACAATTGTTTTTGCACAAAATCAATTTGAAAACACGATTAAGAGGCATTGCTGTTGCAAGAATGAAAGGAAGACAACTTATATCGAGTTATACTTATAAAACCCAGGTTGTTTGTGTGTGTCTGTGTTCGTTTATATATGGGATCGGATTTCCTACATTTTTCAACCAATTTCAACAAAACTTCACTTTTTTTTTTTGGGCATCCGTTTTTATTGTCTTGCACAATTTTTTCGTTATTTTTACATTCAGAATGCTTTAAAAACTCCATTTACAAGACAATTGTTTATAATAAAATTCTATTCAATCGGTAGGCTCATAACGATTGAAAACAATGTTTTTGTTTGAATTTGGGTTTAACCAATTCGAAAAAAAAACTAATTAAGACATGCGTGCCCGTCAACCTTAAACAATAATCTTTGTCAATTTTATTTTTCAGTCTTTATGATGGTCAATACTTGATCTATCTCTTACTGTTACATCCCTGGGCAACGCCAGGCTCTACTGCTAGTAATTACGGAAAGAGAAGTTAGCTTTGTTGCAAAATGACCATATTTCAATCACCAGACTGCTTGTCTCCTTTAGAATCCAAGAGGAAACAAAAGTAGAAATTAATTTAATCAAATAAAATAAGTGAGAAAAATGAAGAGAAACTGAAAAAGAAAAAAACATTTATTTGCCATTTTTCTGCTCTTTCTTTGACTTTTAACATAGAAGCTTTCAAGGCAAATAAAAATCTACATTGATTTATTGATGGTTTATTGTACAAAGGCAACAACATTTATGGAGGAATGCTGAAAAGGTTAGATTTGTTAAATTAACAAAATATTAACCCTTGTTGGGTTATTTAATGGTAAATATAAGTCATGTAGGACAAAAATCACAATGTATTAGAAGTAGGAAAACATATGTCGAGTTTACACCAGAGTCAAAAATAGGTAGACATACTAGGTTCAGTTTATATCAGAGTCAAAAACTAAATATCCACCTAGAAGGTAGCCTTTTTTTGCTGGTAGTGAGTGGTAGGGTCTTACTCTCGGCAGAAGAAACAGTTGACTTATTCTAAGTACATGAAAAAGGCTGAAATTTTCTCAGCTTCCAAAAGAAGCCCATTCAAAAAAAGAAAAAAGATTTACATGTGGTTCTAAGCTCAGATTTTGGAAAGTGGGTCAGTCAGAGAACTTTTCTACACTCCCTTGTACAATATATATATATATATATATATATATATGCACACATGTGTGTGTTTGCCTTATATGGCATATTCTACCATATTTGGTACCCACCACACCCCTGTATTCTCTCTCACCTGCCACCATCATTTATCGTATCATTTTATTGTATAATAATAGCTGCCAGTGGCCTTTCTTTGAATGAGTGTCTTATTCTTTGCTTTGATGATCGTGACTGTAACTTTAACCGACTCATCTCCTCTAATCTTTTAAACTTAATAACTCAAAAGCAAAGGATTGGCAGACATGTAGTTTATGTGAACTTTTGACCTTGTTTTGGTGTGAGGAACCCATCCCCAAAAGTTTGTAACTGTATTTTTGATACACCCTGTGTGTGCGTATATATATATATATATATATATATATATAATGTGTGTGTGTGTATGTGTGTATATGTATATACATATATGTATATGTATATATATGTTATAATTATTTAAAAAAAATATTATTCCTTTGCTACATAAGAGTTCTCATGTTTCAAAAACAAGAGCTGAAAACCTCTATATTGAGTTTAATAATTATATTGAGGTTTTCGGCTCTTGTTTTTCAAACATGAGAGCTCTTATGTAGCGAAAATAATATTTTAAAAAAATAATTATAATTTAAGCTCTACTTGTATGGAGCACTGTTTTTAAAAATAAAACAAAATACTAAAGAACTTTTTGATTATTTACCTAATGTGTTCTTTTCTGTTTTCTACATATCTTGCCACACACACACACACACATATATATATATATATATATATATATATATATATATATATACATACACACTGTACTTGTGTATATAGGATGTTTCCAAAATGTCTTTACTTTGTTTTCGAATTTGATTAAGCTTAATCAATACCTACAGTGTACAATGGATAAATTGTCATCTAAATTATGCAAAAATGAAAATAACACTGACATCTCATTTTAACACACATATTTACCAAAATTACCCAAAAATATCTGGAAATACTAAAGAGTAAATTTATTCAATAAAATTGCCATTAGCTTCAACCATAACCCTCAGATGACTTTGGAATCTCCTGCAACTCTTCTGGACTGTCTCCTTGTTTAAGTTGGTGAATGCTGCCATAATCCTTGCCTTCACTTCATCTTTGGTGTTACAGGGAGTTTTGTTGGTCTCTTGCTCAAATGTGCCCCACACATAATAATCAAGGGGGTTGCATTCTGAGGAGTTAGGTGGCCAGATGTAAGGGGTGAGGTGGTTGCATTTATTGTCTGACAGCTATGACAAGGTTCTCCTGCTTGTGTGACATGGTACATAGTCTTGTTGCCAGACATAGGGTCTTCCAGCAGCCACCCTCTTGACCCAGGGCAACACTACCTTGTCAAGGCACTTGATGTAGACCTCTGTGTTGAGTCTGAGACTCTCATTAACAAATTTCAGGAGTTCTTTACATATCAGGCCATTTCAACTGACAATCTAATGGTGTGCTTAAATTCATATAGTCTAGGTACCATAATGGAAAATTCATCAGAACAATTAATATGAAAGTATTTATAGAAATGGCACAGGGATCTATGTTATGGCAATGGAAAAGGGACTGAAGCTGAGATATCAGGTCAGGACCAATAACATTGCAGATTCTTCTTTGGATTTTTATCAAGAATCTCTAAATATATAGCAGAAGCATCAGACCAGATGTGGCAGCAATATTCAAAGCAAAGATAAATGGTAGACTTACAAATATGTAAGATTCTGGCAAGACAAATTACAATGAACTACTGTTTCATTTGAAGTGATGTTATGCAATTGATTCCTGCAATACTCATTGTCTGAGAAATTGTCATAGAAAATATTCGTCCTCCGACAGGAATTGAACCTGTATCCTATATGGAACCGTCATATAGCCTGACATGCTTTTACTGATTGAGCCATAGAAGAGCGTTTTGGTTAGCAAGGTCGATTTTACTGTTTTTAAACTACAATTCTCCATGATTTTCTCATGTACATTCATATCTGCTCGATGTGTATCCAAATGTAAACAAATGACATCACAAATTATGAAATGAACAAAGTCTGACAATTATTTTTTTAAGATATTTTTACGTTTATATTCTTTTTATATATATATATATATATATATATATATATATATATATATATATAAAAGAATGTATAAAACATAAAGATACAGGTTTGATTCCTGTCAGAGGAAGCATATTTTCTATGACAATTTCTCGGGCATTCAGGCCAGTGAATGTTGTTAATACTGTTTATTATAAACAGAGCATTTACTTAAATATTTGTAGCTATAAAAATAGAATGTATAAACATAAAAATATCTTAAATTATATACATATATATAAACATATATATATATATATATATATATATATATAATGTGTGTGTGTGTCTGTATATGTGGTTCTTTCTGAAGGAGATCAGGAGCTGCTAAGTTGGAGTTGATCATGCGTTCACATGTCAAGTAACGATCTCCATCTCTGGCTAGGAGGTCATTCTTCATGTTAACTCTGCACCTGGCTTCTTTCTCTGGTGTGACAGTGAGTGCAAAGTCTATTCTGGCATCATGTGAGGTGTGTTGCATATTATAACAATATCACCAAAAAATGACTACATCCCAACCATTTCTTCCTTCTTTTTCAATTTCTATAGAAAGTTAATTTTCTCCCAAACCAAGAATACTAGAATTGTATTATTTCTAGTGGAGCATTACACAGAAAACAGATGTTATCAAGTATTATTTAGGACCCAACTCAGCAGCATTGAAACTCTGTTGCAAAAATATATATCTCTTCTGGCTTCTTGCTTTCCAGTCAACTTTGATTTTCAAAAATTTAACTGCAATGTCAATTGTTATCTTCTGTTTTCCTATTTCCTGTTCTGTTATTGTTCTCTCTCTTTAGTAATATTTTTTTCCTCATATTTGTTCACTTTCAGTAATCCCTTGCATCTTAGTGGCTTTATTACCTTATTTAGGGAAAAAATTATAAAAAAAAAAGTAGATGGTCTGCTGCTTTCCTCTATCTCTTGCAATTGATATACACTGTGAGGGTTAAGGTTTCCAAACCCTCCTTTCTCATTATGCATCCAAGAAATTTCAGATTTCTCTTTCTAAAAAAGTGTCCTTTTTGTTACCATTTTCTTTAGGAACTTCCTTGTTGCTTACTCACTCCATCCATGGAATTCTCAGTATTCTTTTATAGAACCACATTTCTGTTGCTTCTATTTTCCTCTTCATCTGTGGGGATATTAGGAAACAAGAATGAATCTATCTTGGAGCAGATGACATCTGACAAGTTTGGATTCCATATGGCAAGTTATGCAATGAAAAGTTAAGTACAGTGGTAGTATTATTCATGACGTAACTCAGTAGCATTGAAACTCTGTTCTAAAAGTGTATATTGGGATCCCAAAATGAATACACCTCTGGGAAAAATGTTTATTTAATTCTATAGACTAACAATATTTTAAAGCAATTATTGATTATTTCATCGAATTCTTCTTCTTTTTGTGTGCTTTCATAGTTATGTATTCTGAACACTCATCCATCTCCTTTAAAACATATTCTACTAATCTCCCTTGACCTTATGTTGATAACCTCCCTTGGTTGTCACTCTCCTGATGTAAAATGTAAACCTTGTTAGCTCATTAAAACCTTCTAAAGCTCTTATGTCTTTCTGCCTTTATTTCAGGGGTTATGTAGTCTGGGCAGTGCACAGCCTCCATCTATCATTGCCCAACCCTGGAGAGTTCTTTTTTTAATCATTTCACCCCAAGCAAGCTGATAATGCCACTAAAATGCAGGAATTTATAAGGAGAGAAAGTGAAAGAGAATGAAAAGTTTAAAAATAGGGAGGTTTGAAGAAAGGACAAAAAAGAACATAGTTCAAAAAGACAGAAGATGGTGAGGTTGCATTTTAAATATTTAAAGATTGTCGTTCTCCATAGCTTTCTATCCTTTGTAGCTTTTAGCAATGTTTGTGCTTTTACTATCCTTCCCAGTCTCTAATTTCTTTTTCTTTAACAATTTCATCGCAAGCAATGCAAATAAGTTGCAATTGGGTTACTGAAAGTGAAAAAACTGAGAAGAGAGAACATTAAAATGCCCGCATTTAAATTTTTGAAGATCATAGTTGATAGAAAAGCAAGAGGCTGAAAGAAAGTTCTACAAGCACAAAGTGCCTGATGAGAAACCATAATACTCAGGGTTGCCCTTAGCAATTTCAACAATAAAATAATAGGTCTTAACAGCCAGTCTAGTACTTGCAATCCAACAGCGCATTAGTTAGTTTATCACTTTTCCCTTTTATCTCTCATGCATTGATGTTCTCTAAATGTCAAATTCTTCAAGAGATCTTTCTCCATTATGTGCCTAAGAAATTTCAACTGTCTCTTTCTCATTCTAAGTAAAATTGTCCTTTTTGTTTTCATTTTTTCTTAAAACTTCCTAATTGCTCACATGTTTGGTCTATGGTATACTCTGCATTCTTCTGCAAAACCACATCGCTGTTACCTCAAGTTTACTCTTCATGTGTAAAGAAATTGTTTAACATTCACTGGCATACAGGAAGATTGATCATTTCTTTTAATAAGGTGTTTAAATAGAAGCAGAAAATGCAGTGTTAGAAATTGTTCTTATCAAGTCATAGTTTTCTGTATACAGGCTTTTTCTTCATTAAAACTCCACATGGGAATGAACTCTTGTCTTAAATGATAGAACATGTTATTTCTTTCTACAAATAAAAAAACAGCTATAAAAAAAGTAGTTAAAAGATGAAATCTGGAAAAAAAACCCTGTTGGCAAAATTGTCCAAAATCACAAGCTGACACCAAACTCTATTCATTTTACCAGGACAAACTATTCATTTTACCAGGAGGTTGGTAGATAAAAGCCCAAAATAATCAGCTGCAGATGTTGCTAATAAGGTCAAAGAAGTGTGTGATGTGAATGTTTATACTATAACAATACCAGCTGATAACTTGTGAGATGAAATGCCTGAGGAAAGCAGTGAACAAGACCAGGTGAGACAAGATCAGGAATGACTCAATAAGAGATATGGTAGGAGCAATAGCAATCATACAACACATGGAATGACAGAGGATCAAGTGGTTTGGACACCTCACTCATATGCCTATCAACCAACCAGCCCTACAAGCATTCATCCTCAGGTACTCTGGCTGGAGAGCAAGAGACAGACCAAGATGACACTGGAGTGACTCAGTGGCAGACACTCTCAGAGCCCACAAGATATCTCTCCTCCAGACCACTCACCTTGCCATTGTAAAGATGACTGTGTCTCCCAGCAACACCTAACAGCACAAGTGGAAAAAAAAAACAAAGAAACAAGTTTGCATGTCGAACAAGTATGTAGAAGTTCATTACTGAAATCAAGACACAAAGAGGACTGTATAATTTTTTTTACAGGAGACTAAAGATAAAAATTCAACGATTTAAGACAACATACTGTGGTATTTTCTTCTATGTGCCATCTCTCTTCAGGAAAATGTACCGTGGTTTGGTCCTTTCTTCTGTGTGCTGCATCATCTTCAGTACATAGGTGATCATGGCTCTCCACAACTTCCTATCCCTTGTATTCCTTAGCAGTGTTTCTCACTTTGTCAAGCCTCCTGCCTGTTCAGCCATCCATTTACATAAGCTTGTCAGGTTATGGCTAGATATAAACATAAGTTCTACACTAACAATTTCTTCTCTCAGACATTTTGTTTGTAGAGCTCTCTTCTGGTTTCTTGTTTTCTGGTTAACTTTGGCTTTATTGCCTTGTTTGGGGTGAAATGATTAAAAAAAATATAAGTAGGGGACCTGCTGAAGGCAAGAGATACAGAGGAAAACAAAGCATAACCTCCTGTTGAATATTGGTTAGCTTGCAAGTGGTCAGACACACAAGTAGACTGGTGTAGCCCAAGTTAAAACTAGACACAATTCATTTAATGGAGAGATATATGGGTGAATAGAGACCACACATGCAAATGTTTTTGGCAGGTCCATTCTAGCAAAATGAACCAAACCACCTGCTGCATTAGGTACTCTCCTATAAATAAGGTAAAATTAGCTGGCTTGCCTTTACACAAGAAGGCAGCCATGTTAGCAGGTAAGTCATTTGACTTCTACACCTTCCTAGAAAGCTTGAGTAAATGGATGGCAAAACAATGTTTAGGAGAAAGTACAAAAATGATAAAATTTATAAGAAAAGTTTTTTTTATTATTTCATCCAAGACAAGGTGGTAATGCCAATAATTTACAGGGGATTGCAGGTAATGAAAGTGAAGACTGAGAATAGGGTGAATTGAGGAAAGGACAAAAGTTGAATGAGGTTGAAGAAGACAGAAGATGGCAATTGATGTTGCATCTAAACTTTTGAAGACTGTAGTTATCAGGGAAGCAAGGAAATGGGAGGGAGTTCCACAGGTGGGAAGTGTGAGAAAATAAACTGTTGGAGTAGTAAAAAGGGTGGGACCTAGATGACAATCTAATTGAATGCTTAAATTCATGTATTTGGGGCAGAAGGGGAAAAGCTCATCAGAGCAGTTGCCATGAAAATATCTGTAGAAAAGGCAAAAGGAAGCCACGTCACATCGTTTGTAGAAAAATCACGTGGTAGAGATAAACGCTCAGTTGTGGAGCAAGCTAAGTGAACAATAATCCAACCTTTAGAAAGAGAGCTATTTACGGTGCCATGGAGCATCTCATTGTGCTAAAATGGGATAGTCCATTGCTTGGGCTGTGATTGGCTGCTGGTACCTGTGTGGAGGTATTTCTATATAAATACCAGCTTGATTCATCAGTTAGTTTGCAGGGTTTGTATTAAGTTACAACCTGCTTTATTTTTGTCTGCCAGCTGGATGCTAGCTGGGACCTTTACACCGGTAAGTGCTGTTTATTATTGTTATTCTACAGTCGTTGAGAAAATGGCTGAAATTGAGAGACTCGGTTAGGATCAATTAGAGATCCTTCTCTGGATTTTGTCAAGAATCTTTAGAGGTACAGCAGGAGCACCAGATCAGACATGGCAGCAGTATGGCAGATACAAATGACAGGAAATTGTGGATCTCACATCCTGAAGTAGAGGACTACTGAATGAGACAAAGTTGAAAGACTTCCTACTGCCAATATGGAAAAAACATTCCAATAATTGTGTAAATTTAGTGAACATTCCGTCATCAGGACAAGCAATAATAGAAAATGTAAGCGATCATATCAAATATCAATTTAAATAAACTTTTGTTCCTATGAGAGGACAGCATTTTTGAACAGCAAAATATTCATATTTTTCAGCTATTTTAATGCTGTAGTTTTTGGTCTCACATAATACCTCCTAATAATTGCATGTGAAGTAATGGGTTTTGGCTCATAATGAGAAATTAGTGAGCTGAGTTTGAATTCCAGTCGCATTCATTACATTCACTTATTCTCAAATAACAATGGGAAAGTTATGAATCCATCCATTCTCCCAACTATGGATTAAATAGTAATAAAGACTGGGCCCTGTAGCTGTGGTTGGAAACCAGTCTAGAAGAAGGACAACATAATGATAAAGATACCTAAAGCAAGTTAGGTTTCAGCCAGTGTGTTTAGCCAAAAAACAACTCATTGACTGATAATCTAACGGATTATGCAACAACTGAATTGGTTGATTTTGCTTCTGTAATGTTCTTCTAGAAATAATAAAATCCTGCTATGCTTGGTTTAGTTTTTTTGTTTAATACAATTTTCCTTCAGAATTTAACTAATTATATCTCTTCACAGTTTCTTTTTCTTTATTATTGTTATATTAAATACCAAGAGAAAAGAATAACAAGGATTAAATTTTAAACAAAGTTTATTGTTGGTAGAGAGTACAGAGAGATTGAAGGATGAATGGAATGTCTGTTTCAGTGGCCAGTCATCAGGATAGCGGTCAGGTTAAAGGTTAGTGCTGAGTGTTGATTTAATTCTTGTGTAGGTTTGGTGGGAGGTCACTGGATATGGTTGGTACACATGTTGGTTAATCAAGATCACAGTGGAGGAAAGTATATCGTACAGATATGTTGAAACTAGGTGAAATATCAGTTTTAGTGGGCAATCATCAGGATAATGATCTGGTATGAGCATAGCACTGGGAGTTGACTCATTTCTTGTGCTGGTTTGGCCTAGTTCACATGATATGGTCGGTGGATGTTTGGTTGATCAAGGTCACAGTGGTAGGTCATTTCGTTGGTTGACCTCTTGTGTTGAACCAGGATGATGTTGGATTGACATAGTTTTGGTAGGCCTGTTCTGTGGAATGGAGGTTACAGTGTCAATTGTGAAGGGAATGCTTTGTAAACAAACTGAAGTAGGTCAAGGTGATGGTGGTGGGCTGGTGGGCCTGTTCTATGGAATGGTGGCTGCTGATCAGGTTCACAGTGTGTTGTAGAGTATTTTTCAGAGTGGAGGCTTGTATTTCGCTAAGTCGGTCCTAAAAGGGTCCGACATACAAAATGTTAGGAACTTGAAATAAGAGTTAATGACGCAGCAATCTAGTTGTGATGGTTGATGCTTCAATGTCCGACATCGACTGACTCACTCAACTCCACTGAGCTCAACTGGTGACCGCTACTAGTACTACTACTTATGTGTGGGAGAGTCTATTAATAATAGAATAGGTACGTTCAGGTATAACACAGTGGAGGGTCAATTTCTGTTAGTTGATATTTGCTGAGGTGACAGCATCATTGACAATGAAGGCTTATAGCTGGGTGATGTTGAAGCTGGATAGTTGGCCACTCATGGCAAGGTTGGTGTCAATGAAGGCTTGTAGCTGGGAGGAGTCGAGGTTGAGATGATTTCAAGTCAAAGCTGGATAGCTGAGGTGGTTGGTCAAACCTGGGACTGGTAATGGTCGTTGAGAGATACAGTCGTGGTGGCAGCAGTGGTGGCGACAGCAGCAGCAGTATCCTGTGTGATGTGGGTGGCTCACCAGGCCACAACTACTCATGTTGTTCTCCAAGACCTGCTTTTAAGCAGATCTGGTAGTCTCCAGGGACATCTCTTTCTCTAGTGGGAATGTTTGTAATTGGTCACTGCCAGAGCTTGCTTCATAGGCAGGATGTGATGCATGAATCCTAATTAACTTCTGTGCACAACATTTCTTATTTTGTTTTCTGCCTTCATGGTGTCTACATCCGGCCAGCATGCAGAATGAATCAGAAAAAGATTTAATTGTAATGGAGTATAACATTATCTATGAATTGCTATGCCTTCTTGAAAAAGATAAAGGAATGGTCACCCTTTTCCTTCTTTATGGTTTTAAATTCAGGATTTTCCTACTCCAAGACTGCCACCCCTGACTAAATAACCCAGTTTACCCTAAATCTATAGCTGGGGGTGGAAAGGAATAAATTCATACTTTTCCTATTTGTCTGAAAGTGAATATAAAAGAATAGGACAGAATTTGAACTCAGCTCACCAATCCCACTTTTAGAGTTGGTTAAAATTCCTTAAAGTTAGTGAAGGTTTTGGTAGCCATAAAGAAGTAATGACATGACACCTTAAAGTTAATTGGATACTTTTTGGAAACTTAATTATGCCGTGAATTACGTTTATTTTTATCTTGAAGTTTCAACCAAGTGAATTTGAAAGATTGAGCACACAATGTGAAATAACTAATGAGAAAGTCACTTGTGAAAAAGGCTTGGGTTATGACAGTGGTAAAGAAAGAAGGCCATTATCTTCTAGGAATTAATTGAAAAGAGGTTCTTGCTTGAGTCAAAATCTGATTTGAAATAATTTTTTAAAATGTTTTTACCCCATTTAATGTTAAGAACGCCATAAAATGTTAGTGTGCAAGAAGCAGCTATCAATTTCTTTTTGAATTGGAGGAGATATTTATTTTATTTTAGCTTCCCATTCCCTCTTTAGAAAATGAGCTTTGATAATTATGAGCATTATGTCATTACTGCTTGTCAAGCATAGCAATTGCAAGAAGAGAGTAAAAAAAGGATGCATGGAAAGAAGTCAAATAATTTACTTAAGGTACTCTTCTGTATTCTACCTTATCTGCTAATTCATTTTCTCTTTCTATATTCAAAATTTTTGATTAATTTAATTCTGTTCCTTTAATCCATTTTTCATTTCCTTCTTTCCATTTATTCTAAATAATCGCATTCCATTTTCGTCTCTTTATATCATCTCATTACTTCATTCCCTTATTTTTCCCTTTCTTTCACCTTATCACATCATTCCTTTTTCTTTCTATTTCTTCCATCTTATCACATCATTCCTTTATCTTTCTGTTTCTTCCATCGCATCATTCTTTTTCTTTCTATTTTTTCCATCGCATCATTCCTTTTTCTTTCTATTTCTTCCATCACATCATTCCTTTTTCTTTCTATTTCTTCCATCTTATCACATCATTAATTTTTCTTTCTATTTCTTCCATCACATCATTCCTTTATCTTTCTATTTCTTACATCACATCATTCTTTTTCTTTCTATTTCTTACATCTTATCACATCATTCTTTTTCTTTCTATTTCTTCCATCTCATCACATCATTCCTTTATCTGTCTATTTCTTCCATCGTATCACATCATTCCTTTTTCTTTCTATTTCTTCCATCAAATCATTCCTTTATCTTTCTATTTCTTCCATCACATCATTATTTTTCTTTCTATTTCTTACATCTTATCACATCATTCTTTTATCTTTCTGTTTCTTCCATCATATCATTCCTTTCTCTTTCTATTTCTTCCATCTTATCACATCATTCCTTCATCTTTCTATTTCTTCCATCTGATCACATCTCTCCTTTTTATTTCTATTTCTTCCATCACATCATTACTTTTTCTTTCTATTTCTTCCATCTTATCACATCATTCTTTTTCTTCCATCTTATTACATCATTCCTTTATCTTTCTATTTTTTCCATCACATCATTCCTTTTTCTTTCTATTTCTTACATCTTATCACATCATTCTTTTTCTTTCTATTTCTTCCATCACATCATTCCTTTATCTTTCTATTTCTTCCATCTTATCACATCATTTTTTTTCTTTCTATTTCTTCCATCTTATCACATCACATCATTCCTTTATCTCTCTAGTTCTTCCATCACATCATTCATTTTTCTTTCTATTTCTTCCATCTTATCACATCATTTTTTATCTTTCTATTTCTTCCATCTTATCACATCATTCTTTTTCTTTCTATTTCTTACATCTTATCACATCATTCCTTTTTCTTTCTATTTCTTTTATCACATCATTCCTTTTTCTTTCTATTTCTTTTATCACATCATTCCTTTATCTTTCTATTTCTTCCATCTTATCACATCATTACTTTATCTTTCTATTTCTTCCATCACATCATTCCTTTTTCTTTCTATTTCTTCCATCTTATCACATCTTTCCTTTATTTTTCTATTTCTTCCATCTTATCACATCATTCTTTTTCTTTCTATTTCTTCCATCTTATCACATCATTCTTTTATCTTTCTGTTTCTTCCATCACATCCTTTCTTTATCTTTCTATTTCTTCCATCACATCATTATTTTTCTTTCTATTTCTTCCATCTCATCACATCATTCCTTTATCAGTCTATTTCTTTCATCACATCATTATTTTTCTTTCTATTTCTTCCAACTTATCACATCATTCTTTTATCTTTCTATTTCTTCCATCACATCATTCCTTTTTCTTTCTATTTCTTTCATCACATCATTCCTTTTTCTTTCTATTTCTTACATCTTATTACATCATTACTTTATGTTTCTATTTCATCCAACTTATCACATCCTTCCTTTCTCTTTCTATTTCTTTCATCTTATCACATCATTCTTTTTCTTTCTATTTCTTCCATCTTATTACATCATTCTTTTATCTTTCTATTTCTTCCATCACATCATTCCTTTATCTTTCTATTTCTTCCATCTTATCACATCATTCTTTTTCTTTCTATTTCTTCCATCTTATCACATCATTCCTTTATCTTTCTATTTCTTCCATCTTATCACATCACATCATTCCTTTATCTCTCTATTTCTTCCATCACATCATTCCTTTTTCTTTCTATTTCTTCCATCTTATCACATCATTCCTTTATCTTTCTTTCTTCCATCACATCATTCCTTTTTCTTTCTATTTCTTACATCTTATCACATCATTTTTTATCTTTCTATTTCTTCCATCTCATCACATCATTCCGTTATCTTTCTATTTCTTCCATCACATCATTCCTTTATCTTTCTATTTCTTACATCTTATCACATCATTCCTTTATCTTTCTATTTCTTCCATCTTATCACATCATTCCTTTATCTTTCTATTTCTTCCATCTTATCACATCATTCCTTTATCTTTCTATTTCTTCCATCTTATCACATCATTCCTTTATCTTTCTATTTCTTCCATCTTATCACATCATTCCTTTATCTTTCTATTTCTTCCATCTTATCACATCATTCCTTTATCTTTCTATTTCTTCCATCTTATCACATCATTCCTTTATCTTTCTATTTCTTCCATCTTATCACATCATTCCTTTATCTTTCTATTTCTTCCATCTTATCACATCATTCCTTTATCTTTCTATTTCTTACATCTTATCACATCATTCCTTTATCTTTCTATTTCTTCCATCTTATCACATCATTCCTTTATCTTTCTATTTCTTCCATCTTATCACATCATTCCTTTATCTTTCTATTTCTTCCATCTTATCACATCATTCCTTTATCTTTCTATTTCTTCCATCTTATCACATCATTTCTTTATCTTTCTATTTCTTCCATCTTATCACATCATTCCTTTATCTTTTCTATTTCTTCCATCTCATATCTTCCGTTTCTTCCATCCATCATTTCCTTTATCTTTCTATTTCTTGAAGATCTTATCACATCATTCCTTTATCTTTCTCATTTCTTCCATCTTATCATTTCCTTTATCTTTCTATTTCTTCCATCTTATCACATCATTTCTTTATCTTTCTATTTCTTCCATCTTATCACATCATTCCTTTATCTTTCTATTTCTTCCATCTCATCACATCTTTCCTTTATCTTTCTATTTCTTCCATCTTATCACATCATTCTTTTTCTTTCTATTTCTTCCATCTTATCACTTGTGCAGGTCTCCGTCCATCAGAATTAAGCATGGGTAGCATCCTAGTTGTCTACTTGGCTGGAGCATTGATGTCTGTGACTGTAGAAGCCAATGCAGGAGTGACAATCTCTGTTGCAGCGGTCGCACTTGTGTTCTGTCTTTGGCCTGTTGGAGCTGTCACTTTGCCTTCTGCAGGCCCACCTTTCCGTGGCAACTTTTGTCAGCTTCTCCTCCCCTGATTTGAGGTGTTTGGTCAGGGTTCCTCTACATTTGGATCGTATGGCTTCCAGGCTCTCCCATGACTCTGTGTTGATGTCCACAGCTTTGATGTCGTGCCTCACAAGGCCAGCTCCCCATACAGAGGTTTTTAGGGATGTGGTCATCTGGCATGCGGTAGATGTGGCCCAACTGACAGAGTTTGCTCTGTCTGAGCAGTGTGTACATGTTGGACAGACCTGCTCAAGACAGGACCTCTGTGTTTGGCACCCTGCCCTGCCATACTATTCCCAGGATGATTCCTTTCACATGAGAATCATCCAATGCCACAAAAACGTCAAATAATTAGTAACGGAAAGAATGGAAAAAGAATTATGATTCTTGATTCTTCACTCTCCAGTTAAATACCTGAGTCCTGTAAAGGCCTCAGAGGTTTGTTATCACAGCACTGTTATAGTGATTTTCCAAGCATAGCTTGGATGTGGCACAAGGTCAAAAGTAAGGAGCACCCAGTGAGGATTGACCTCACTACTCACCCCTAATTGTTCTAGCGAGACAAGCTTGCTAACCATTACACCACCTCGAGGTGCCCAATGTGTTTTGCCTATTTGACATATTAACCACTCGCCATGTATTTGCCATATTAACCACTCGCCGTGTATTTGGCATATTAACCACTCTCAATGTATTTGGCATATTAACCACTCATCGTGTATTTGGCATATTAACCACTCGTCGTGTATTTGGCATATTAACCACTCGCCATGTATGTGACATATTAACCGCTCTCAATGTATTTGGCATATTAACCACTCGCCGTGTATTTGGCATATTAACCACTCGCCGTGTATTTGGCATATTAACCACTCGCCGTGTATTTGACATATAAACCACTCGCCGTGTATTCGACATATTAACCACTCTCAATGTATTTGGCATATTAACCACTCGCCGTGTATTTGACATATTAACCACTCACAATGTATTTGATTTAAATCCATAGGTATGTTAACAGTTATCTGCTTTTCTTATTTTTCCTAATTGTTGTTTTACTTATCATTTCATAGCTTTCCTTCTTGATGACAGAATTATTGAAGACTTGGGCATGATTATGCCAAATGCCTGTAAGTTAAATTACAAAAGGAATATTGCAAAAAAAATGTCAGGTCAAAAGGCTATCAAATCCAGCAGGGTTCTTATTCTTGGAAGCCCTGTTGTTTTCAAAGCAATCTGTCCATTGCTAATGAAGATGCATTGCTTGCAGGCAAATGGGACGGTGTTTCAATGAAGACAGCATTCAGCATCATTTGAGCTGAAGTTGTCAGGAGATAGAAGCAGGAAATTAAGCATTGGTATGGCCAACAGGAAGGATGCATTGGTTGTCAGTAGATTTCTGCTACAAGACCCCACCTTTTCCTATTGCTCTTTCTCCTTAACATTTTGCCTCACACCCTACCTCTCTTTCTCTATCTATTTCTTTCTTCTCTTTCCCTATCAATCTCTTTCTCTCTCTCCTTCATCTCTTCCCTCTCTCTCTCTCTCTATATATATATATATATATATAATTAAAAAAAATTAAAATAAAACATATAAACAAAAATTATAAAAGATTAATTTTAATAATTAGAAATAAGTAATTTTGTTGGCTCAATAATATAAATAATTTTGAATATTACACAATTATAATCGTATTGGAAATTCAATAAACTGCAAGGAATTTTTATATAAATTCCTTCTACAACAGAAAAATTATCTAATAGACATCACCGTGCTGGGTAAGATGATAAACTACATCCAGCAGCAAGGCCTCTGATCAAAAGGTTTTGAGGAGCATGGAACCACCTCTTAATTGCTGGTGTTCCCAGGTCCACCCTAACCCGGGGTGGTAGCACCTGTTAGAGTCCCAGCTATGGGCAAATAGTTAACTATTACCAGCAATACTTTTTTGAAAAAAATTATTACCAACAATACAATTTTGAATGAAAAATATTACAAGAATCAGATTTTTGACAAAACAAAATATTACCAGCAATAAAAATTTTTGTCAGCAACCCATTGAGGTTGATATACCATAAAACAAAATAAACCAAACCAATCTAAAACAAAGAAAACATATTCTATTCATATGAATCTATCCTAAAAATGTTGTCGGCATTAAATAACCCATTGAGGTGTTGATATGCCATAAAATAAAATAGACCAAACCAAACCTAATAGACAAACAATTTCAGGTGTGATGATGTCAAATAAGAAAGAATTTAAAATTAAATTGATATCAGAAACTTTACTTTTAAATTGGATATGATATCTGTTAATAGATTCAACGGATTTACCTTGTCCCTGAAGAGCAAAATTAGTTGATTGGTTTTTTACCTTTTCATGGGATTTTTGTGTATAACGAACCCAAAAGGAATTGGAATTTATCTCTTTAATTAATAAATCTGAGTCATTATCCATTGCACCAGCAGCACATCCAATCTTACAGCACCTGGTATTCTCAAGCTGTCACCCATATAGGTATTGACCAGGCTTGATGTTGCTTAACTTCAGCAATCATATGGGAACCAATGTTTCAACATGATGTGACCATAAACCTCAAAATTTGAATTGAGAGAAAAGTATTTGAACTTATATAGTTGCTTCACTTTGTAATGCAAGACAATTTGCTATATCTACTTTCATGTTTCTGCTATACATTTAGATGTTCTTGATAAAACAGAAAAAAAAAATCAGCAATGTTATTGTTCCTGACCTGACATCTTGGCTTCAGTCACTTTCCTCCTGCTGTAACATTGCTACCCTTGTGGCTTTTTATCATAAATATTTTCATATTTATTGTTCTGATGAAGTTTCCTTGATGGTACCTAGACTTTATGAATTTAAGTGCAGTTCAAGATAAGTGGGAAGGTCTCCTCATTTTACAGTCAAAATGGCAAGAGATGCAACCGTAAGTTCTACACTAACAGTTTCTTCTCTTTCAGTCCTCACTTTTGACACTCTCAGCTGGCTTATTGATTTCCAATCAACTTTAACTTGTTTTAAAATAACAAACTTCTTGGAAATTATAGTGGAATGGTTTTCTGTTACCTTCTCCACTGTTTTGAATCCAGAATAGTCCTTCTCCAAGATTCCTTTTCCTTATCTGTGAATTGCCATGACTTCTTGGGAAGGATAGTGGAATGGTTTTCTGTCACCTTCTCCACTGTTTTGAATCCAGAATAGTCCTTCTCCAAGATACATTTTTTTTATTATTTGTGAATTTCCATGACTTCTTGGGAAAGATAGTGGAATGGTTTTTTTACCTTCTCCACTGTTTTGAATCCAGAATAGTCCTTCTCCAAGATTCCTTTTCCTTATCTGTGGTGCCATTACTTCTTGGGAAGGATAGTGGAATGGTTTTCTGTTATTCTCCACTGTTTTGTTTTCTCCAAGATACCTTCTCCATTTTGTTTTGAATTCTTGTGAAGGATAGTGGAATGGTTTTCTGTCTTCTCCACTGTTTTGAATACAGAAGAGTCCTTCTCCAAGATTCTTTTCCTTATCTGTGAATTGCCATGACTTCTTGGGAAGGATAGTGGAATGGTTTTTGTTACCTTCTCCACTGTTTTGAATCCAGAATAGTCCTTCTCCAAGATTCCTTTTTCTTATCTGTGAATCCATGACTTCTTGGGAAGGATAGTGGAATGGTTTTGTTACCTTCTCCACTGTTTTTCCAGAATAGTCCTTCTCCAAGATACCTTCTTTATTATTGTGGTGCCATGACTTCTTGGGAAGGATAGTGGAATGGTTTTCTGTTACCTTCTCCACTGTTTTGAATCCAGAATAGTCTTTCTCCAAGATTCCTTTTTGATATCTGTGGTGCCATAACTTCTTAGGAAGGATAGTGGAATGGTTTTTTGTTACCTTCTCCACTGTTTTTGAATCCAGAATAGTCCTTCTCCAAGATTCCTTTTCCTTCTGTCTGTGGATAGTTGCCATGACTTCTTGGGAAGGATAGTGGAATGGTTTTCTGTTACCTTCTCCACTGTTTTGAATCCAGAATAGTCCTTCTCCAAGATTCCTTTTCCTTATCTGTGAATTGCCATGACTTCTTAGGAAGGATAGTGGAATGGTTTTCTGTTACCTTCTCCACTGTTTTGAATCCAGAATAGTCCTTCTCCAAGATTCCTTTTCCTTATCTGTGAATTGCCATGACTTCTTGTGAAGGATAGTGGAATGGTTTTCTGTTACCTTCTCCACTGTTTTGAATCCAGAATAGTCTTTCTCCAAGATACATTTTCTTTATTATTTGTGAATTGCCATGACTTCTTGGGAAGGATAGTGGAATGGTTTTTTGTTACCTTCTCCACTGTTTTGAATCCAGAATAGTCCTTCTCCAAGATTCCTTTTTTATCTATTTGTGGTGCCATGACTTCTTGGGAAGGATAGTGGAATGGTTTTTTGTTACCTTCTCCACTGTTTTGAATCCAGAATAGTCCTTCTCCAAGATTCCTTTTCCTTATCTGTGAATTGCCATGACTTCTTGGGAAGGATAGTGGAATGGTTTTCTGTTACCTTCTCCTGTTTTGAATCAGAATAGTCCTTCTCAAGATACCTTTTCTTTATTATTTGTGAATTGCCATGACTTCTTGGGAAGGATAGTGGAATGGTTTTTTGTTACCTTCTCCACTGTTTTGAATCCAGAATAGTCCTTCTCCAAGATACCTTTTCTTATTATTTGTGAATTGCCATGACTTCTTGTGAAGGATAGTGGAATGGTTTTCTGTTACCTTCTCCACTGTTTTGAATCCAGAATAGTCCTTCTCCAAGATTCCTTTTCCTTATCTGTGAAT